AATTCTTGCTCGTTGGCCCTGATGGTGACAAAGGATTTACATGCACCAGGTCTCTCTTGCCTACAACTGGATTAAGAACAAGAAGATAACAGCCTTGGAGATGCTTTGGGAAATTTGGACGAAAGCAGCTACAACCAGCCGCAATAAGCAAATACTGCAAATCCCCTTCGTTGTGTTAAAACCCTTTTCACCAAAGACAGTCTTCACCCATCTTTGCACAGTTGAGGGGTGGCCACCTCTGTGGTCCCAGACCCGTGCTGCCAACGCAGCTGACTCCGCTGGCGTCACACGTGGGGAAAGTTTCAGCCTCTGGTGCCTACACTGACTGTGGCCCAGAGCACCACCCGCCAGGTGCGATCCCCGGCCCCGCCCCGAGCCTGCACACCCCTGGTTACACACACAGAGCTTCAGGCTGCTCTCCTAAAGCATCCGACCTCTAAAGCAAGCACGGATAAGGTCTGGCTGACAAAGCTGACAGGAAAGCCTCTACAAAGGGAAAGCCCTTCTCAAAATACAGTCCTTTTAAGGCACAACTCAAATAACCTAAGCTTCACAACTATTCCTAGGATTTTTGCCTTAAGCCTTAACATTTTACCTTCGTTTACAAAAAGCCTGACATACCAGCACAAGATAGAACTGACACACTCATATACTACAGTTCTGAGAAAGACAGAGAAACAGCGTGCAGAAAGATGAGCTGGAGGCCAGGTCTGGGAAGCTCATGATACTTGTATAGCACACACAGGCTGCCAGGGCTGCTCCCGGCTCTTGCGAAAGCAGCTTTAACCAGGGAGTACAGAACAGCATTTCTCATTTCTCCAGTGGGGCAGCATCAGGGGTTTGTTTTGAATTCATTACCCTTGCATCAAGAACCCTTCTGCAGACATGCAGCAGCAAGTACAAGGTGTCACTGGTACTGTAATACCACAACTACAGTGGCCACAGCTACACAGTTATTCCTGTAGCGCTTGCTCACGTGCTGACAAGATGTTCCAGCACAAAAGCACAATCCACAGAAGCAGCAAATTCCTTTGTGCTTACGTTTTCAGCTCTTCCTCCAACCACACACAGGCATCCAGGTCAAGGTGGTTTGTAGGCTCATCTAGAAGCAGCATGAAAGGCCGAATGAAGAGGGCTCTGAAAGGAGAGGGGAGATGACAGTGTAGCGTGAATGCAGGCAACCCAAAGCCTTTCAGCTCTGCTCTGAGTTCCTAGAGCTATGGGTATGGCTCTGCAGAGTCAGGAGCAGGCTGGCGTTCTCCTGGGAGGCAGCAGGCAGTACACCACTCACCTAGCAAGAGCCACCCTCATTCGCCAGCCACCACTGAAGTCCTTCAGCTTCTTCCTCTGCATGGCTGGTGTGAACCCCAAGCCATGAAGGATACGTGAAGCCCGTGCTTCTGCCTTGTCAGCATCCAGCTCCTCCAGACGTTCATATAACTCCAAGAGCTTCTCACATTCCGCTGAAAGAGAGCCTGCTTGTCAGCACTTCTGCCAGTAAAGGCCTCTCAGCTGCACCCCTGTACAGCTAAGAAAGCTCATCATCCATCTACTTTACCACTACTCAGCCCCCTCCACTCCCAAGCCTGAGACACTTCTTAAGAAGCTACATGGAGTAATATCATCCAAAGAAGTGCAATCCCACGGGACTTTTCAACTAGTACAGAGCAACTGGGAGAAATGGGTAACGTTACATAAAAACTCTGACAAGGAACCAAATAAGACCTTTTCTTCAGTGGGGAGGGAAACAAAGAAAATGGCCCTTGTCCAAAAGGACTCCAAGAAGCTTTACCATCTTCGTGAGCCAGACGTTCCGCCTCTCGCTCTAACATGGCCCTCTCTGTATCCACCTCCATCACACACTGCAGAGGGGTCTTGTCGCTGGGGGGCATCTCTCGGGTCAGGTGGTAGATGTCAATGTGCTCTGGGATGGGCACTTCTCGTTTCCCAATAGCTGACAAAAGCATGGATTTCCCTGCGTGCAGAGAGACACTCCACAATTAATTATGTGATCCAGCGAGACAGAATGTCACAGAAAGACAGACAGGATGCAGTCAGATCCCACTGACTCCCTTTCCAACCCCAGAAAATATCTGAGAGAATCTCTCGCCCGAGAGGCCGGAAGGCCTAGCGACACAGCAGAGCTTACTGCCTCACTGTGCCAGGCTGCCCTCCTGGCTAGGGCCCGCCACCTCACGGACAGGACCAAGACATGAAGAAGCTCTTTGGAAACCACCACCATTCAGTCCTTGCCCAGATTTAGGGAACCTTTTTTCTGCTGTACACTTCCTGCTGTCTAACCAGGGCAGACATCTGCTACCAGGACCCCAGACTCACTCTAAAGACTTCTAACACAGAGGAAAGTAATGCTCTCATCACTAGAGACCCAAAGTGTTTTCCTGACAGTTAAATGAGCTGGTCGCTCTAGACTGGAGCTTCTGCAGCTATACTCACGTTCTGCATCTCTCCATGCAGAGCGTTGCCTTCTCCAGGGGTTGCACACTTGTTTTCCCCTTCAGGCCAAATCACACACTCCCTGCTCCTACATACTGTGTAGTTCTGTGACCAATAGCATCAGTGCTGGGTTTATTGACACTGCTAAACAAATCCTGCGAACAGGAATCAGACAGATTCACAGGTCCCAGACATGTCACCCAGCTCTTCACAGAAACAGGTTCAAATGCACAGCCCAAAGCCAGAAGATAACCTCAGCCTTGTACCAGCAATCCCTGCAATTCCTCTTCCTGGGTGGGGAGATGGAAGAATGGAAACTGCCGTGTCCCAGCTGCATCTAACAGGCTTATTTCTGGATTCCTGCATTTACCACCTCCATCTATCCAGCTTCCCCCAGCAATGTGGCACCTTCACGAAGCCCTGCAAAGCCCAGGTCACTGCCCACAGCTTACCAATCCCATTGAGTCCAATCAGGCCGTAGCGCCTCCCTGAGTTCAGCTCCAGCTTTGTGTCACTCAGCAGCTCCTGGCCGTGGAAGGTCAGCGAGAGGTTAATGATGTGCACATCAGTGCTGTTGGGATGGGAGGCCAGCACTCCTGTCACAGCACGGGCAGCAGCTTTCTTTAATTCAAAGTCCTCCAGCTCCTTTGTAAGAGCATCCACCTCTACAGGCAGAAGCAGACCAGAGGTGTTACAGATTTACAAATAAAAGGGAAACCATAAGCGCCTGTACCAAGCATCCCAGGACCACAAAACCAACTCCCATGCCCCACTTCCACAGCACTGTTGAGGAGGTGCAGATGCAACTCAGCTTTTCAGCTTTGGAGATGGATATACACAGTCTAACAGGAGCTTCCACCTGCTCTCTAAATAATATATGATGATTGGAACTAACTGAGCAGCTAGAACAGCCAGCCATGATGGGGCTAACCCTCACCACGGGAAGGACTGGAGTGGGATGAGAACTTCTGAAGCCTTCCTTGCAAGCTTAAGGAAAAGGCTGGCTAAAAGAAAACTTGGCTAGAAAATAAATGAAGGGAAAGCTGAGAAAAGGAAAGATGCAGCAGCACTGGAACAGACCCTACCAATTTTTGAGAAGCTAATACATCCATACGTAGGCCCCCCTCTTCATCCTATAGTAGAAGCAATTCACTTCTGTCATGCTGACCTCCTGTTGCAGCCTTGACTCACAATCCCGTTTTCACTCCTGGGTGAGATGTTGCCATTGAAGACAAAAATGGCATTGAGGATCTCAGCAATGCTCTGGCTGCTCAGAGCAGAGATCTGCTGTCCAGACTGTTTGTGCTCAGGCCAGCAGCCTGTCTGTCCACCTCGAGCACTCCTGGCAAAGCCACTCACTCAGCAAAAGTACTAAGGATTATAGAAGTGGTGAGGTTGGAAAGGATCATTAAGATCATGGAGTCCAACCGTTAGCCCAGCACTGCCAGGCAACCCTTTGAATGAGAAGGTCTCCCCTGAGCCTCCTTTGCTCCAGGCTCAGCACCCCCACCTCCCTCGCCTGCTCCTCCCCACACTTGGGCTCTAGACCCTTCCCCAGCAGCTCCGTTGCCCTTCTCTGGCCACGCTCCAGCCCCTCAGGGTCCTTCTGGGAGCGACAGGCACAAAACCTAACGCAGGATTTGAGAGTGCAATGCTGAGTCCAGGGGGATGATCCCTGCCCTAGTCCTGCTGGCCGGGCTCTTGCTGACACAGCCAGAACGCTGGCCGAGAAGGCCACCTCGGCACATGCTGGCTCATATTCATTATCGCCAAAGCAAATGCACCTCGACCAGAAAGGAGCAAAAACCGCCAACGGCGCCGAC